TTCACGCCTTCTCGCGTTAAGTCAGTCATGCAGAAAAACGCGCGCCTTATTCTGATTGGTCATTGAGCTGACAGCTCTGTTAATCGGATGACCGTAAAACAGTAGGCGGAGATGCAAAAGAAGCGGCTTTTGTAGTAGGCGTTCCCTTCCCCGAATTCTCTTCCTCCTCCTCCACCCCCTCCCCTTTATAGGCCTGCTACTAGGCTAGCTAGTTGCTGGTAGTCTGAAAAGAGTCCATCAGAAAACTAGAAATACGATGACTGTCCCAGGCAATTTATTTTAATAAATTTACTCCCTATAGTGCTGCCGCCGCTGGAGGATGCCACCACTATGTCATCCCACATTGATCTTTTGTCAAAGTTCGAATTGATCCAGGACAGGCGTAAGTTGTTCCTCGTATTTTCTTTCTTTATGTTGTTTATTTTTGCTTTCTCGTTGTCATTTTGTCTTTTAAAAGGTCACTCACCAACCGCATCAGTTCATATTACGCTCAATCAATAAAACTTGTTCAAGCCGCAACGGACTGATTTGTTGTGTGGCTTACATGAAGCGTGTAGCCACATTATGGGACGATCGGATTTATTTATTTATTTGTTTGTCCACGAGAGTTGAGCGCTTGTCACGTGGTCTAGTGTCGTACGACGCACTAGTCTGAGTCAGCCATTTTGATTGAGTGTGGTCTCTAGTTTCCCCTGCTTTTAGTTTTAAAGGTAAGTCGTTTTAACATTTTGAGCTTGGTTTTGAGTTCATTTCTTTTACGTGTCGAAAATCTAGCTTCGTAATTAAGCACAAATAGCGAAACCTGTTTGCAATTGTTGTTTCACTTTCAGGTGCTAATTCAAGTCGACAAATCGAGACAAACAGGAGTTAATTTCCTCACGAAAGCTAGGACAGACTTCGCATGTGTCCAGTGCAGATTCTACAGGAGCCATTATACTTTTGAAAGCGAATATTCATTGCTTTGAACCGTCAGAAGTTTAAAATGTCTCCACCGGCGACCACAAATTCAAAGACAGTATCTCTTTGTTCAGATTAGATATTCAAAAGCTGAGTAAAATAAATTACCAGATTAAAGTTGACTTGCATTTGTTTACTCTACTTAGAAATCATAATCACATTGTTCGAATAGTAAGCTTACTATATTGCTGGTTTTCAGTGTCACGCCACTCAAAATAGATCAAAATCAAAATCAAAACCGTTCAATAGATAAACTCCAGAATCTGGGAAATGAAAGATGGCAAACATGCAAAGACTCTCGCCAAGATTCTGGTCGCAGCAATTTTTCTTATGCAAGACATGCGGAGAAATTTTTTACCCGAATTTATAGAGATTTTTATGGAGACGCCATGCTGGTGCCCATCCGTATGGGCACCAACATGGAGGCCGGAAACCAACAGAAACATATGTCACCGAGTTTTGCTACAAAAGCGTGAATTTATCCCTCGAGGAACTCTTAAACATTAAAATAATACCTTTTCTAAGACATGAACTGTTCAGATAATAGCTAAATTCCTCGCAATAAGTCACTTTTTAGCCATCATGACAACTCTCTAGGCCGTCATGTAAATGCCGCGTCACGCAAAAGCTTAGAAATTCAAGCGTAGTGTAGCAAAAAACCAAGAACCCATTCGGATCGAAAATTTGTATGCATATTAGTTTTCAGCTGCTTTTATACGTCATTAAAGTAAAATCTCGGGAAGATAAATAGTTTTGTAGTTTGAATTTTAGTGACGTCATATGAAAACAAGCCATTTGGAGATTTAGACAATGATTTCTCTGCTATGTTTATTTTTTTAAATCAACAGAGTTGACCATACATTAATGTGATGCATGGATTTGTTGCTTTCGACAGAACGCAGTTCTAATCGGGTAATGGAGGAAAATCGAGTTTTCCTGTATGTATCTTTCTGTGGACACCAATTTGGCCCTCCCTCAAAAAAAATTCTTCAGGGGCGAATGACGTCATCTTCATTTTCGTCCATGTGCTTTTATTCGAGTGTTGTCAGTGCAATATTGTGGACTTTCGAGTGTTGACAAAGCTTACTGTGGACTCTAGGAGATAGGTTGAAGGCAGTGTTAATGGCATTTAAAAACCTTGCAGACATGTCTTCACGAAATGTGTACGACTTTTTGTGCGAACAGAAAGCTGTAGTTTGGCTGCG